TTGCTTCTGTGTTTTGCCTGGGAAGCAGAGGCGAACTGTGCATGTGTTTTGTTTGTGTTGGAAGCTCATGTGCTCACCGCAGCCTCCCTCCAGCACCCCTCTCTGAGCCTCCCAGAACCAAGACAACCAACCATACACAATGCCTGGCGTCCTTTTCTTTGGCCTGGAAAAAAAGTGAACCACCGTGCATGCGTGGTTTAACTGTTTTCCCCAATCCTCCTTGGATGGGTTCTCGTTCATAATAGAGCACTGCGGTCGCACAACTCCTTCGTTCCTCCTCCCCACTCCTCCTGCCACCTCCTGCGCACCTCCCTGGGAGGCTGCGAGATGCGTAAATGTCGCCACTTTCGTGGGCTGCTGGGAGGCGCGGCGGAGTCTGGGAGCAAACTAACCATTTTAAACCTCGTAGCACCCTGGGTGGCTGCAAACTGTGCAACCGTCGCCACATTCGTTGGCTCCTGGGAAGCACGGCGGAGTCGGGGAGTACGCGCACGCATTTGAGACCTCGCAGCTCCCTGGGTGGCTGCGAACTGTGCAACCGTCGCCACTTTCGCAGGCTCCTGGGAATCACGGCGGAATCGGGGAGTCAAGTGGCCCAGCCGAGACCTCGCAGCTCCATGGGGGTGCTGCGAACGACGCAACTGTCGCCACTTTCGTGGGCTCCTGGATGGCACGGCGGAGTCGGGGTGTAAACTGACCCATTTGAGACCTCGCAGCTCCCTGGGCTGCTGCGAGCTGCGCAACTGTCGCCACTTTCGTAAGCTCCTGGGGAGCACGGCCGAGTCGGGGAGTACGCGCACCCATTTGAGACCTCGCAGCTCCCTGGGTGGCTGCAAACTGTGCAACCGTCGCCACTTTCGCAGGCTCGTGGGAGGCACGGCGGAGGTGAGGGCAGCGCAGATCGTGAATCTCTGGCGATGTGTTCTTTCGTATTGAGGTTTCAAACAAAGATTCGCCTCGCGTGGAGAAGGGATTGGATACGCCTGGGATGTTGTTTGGTTTCGGAAGCTCAGCAAGGGGTGCCAGAGGGAGGCCGTGATGCGCACCAGAGCATCCAACACCAGAAACAACCACTTTAACAAACCATACGCATTGTTTCGCGGCTTCCAAGACAACCACACACAAACAATAAGCATACACAGCGTTTCGTGGCACCGAGGGCGCCAGACACTGTGTATGGTTTGGTTTTCTTGTTCTGGAGGCTCAGGGAGGGGTGCTGGGGGGAGGCCGCGGTGAATACACGAGCTTTCAAACCAAATCGCACAACACAAACATACACAATGTTTCGCTGCTTCTTAAATAAAAAACAAACATATAATGTTCCGGGCCACTTAGGGCCCGCTCCTTCAGTAAGGAGCCCTTAGCACTCCTTGTTCTGTATTCAAGGTTCCATTCGTGAGGATTCCTTCGCCGTGATGCCTTTAGTATGGGACCCTTCGTGGGGATCCTCTAATAAGGAACACTGAGTAAGGATCCCTTCTGGCAAGGAATTTCTGATAATCTGATAAGGGTGCCTCCATTAGCGAATACTTCGCACATATCCCTTAACTGAAGAATCCTTAGACTAATGTCTGTAATAAGCCGTCCGTCAGCCAAGATCTCAGGCTAATGGGCCGGTTGTGCTAATATGCGAAGCGACTGTGCAACTTCGTTAAGCGATCTATTCTGCGGCTTCATTATTTGAGTGCTTTGGGGGGTCGCAGGGAGGGGGGGGGGCTCCATATGTTTGTTTGTTTGTGTGTGTGTATGTGTGTGTGTGTGTGTTTGTGTGTGGAGGGGTTTGGCCCTCTTGCCTTTTCGCTTCCGATGGGCTTCTGAGGCCTGGAGACGGCTCCAAGATGTTCCAAGAGAGCGCCAAGAGGGCTCCCAGACGGCCTCAAGAGCGCTCGAGAGTATCCTTGATAGCCTCCAAGAGGTGATCTTGGGGGGTTCGACAGGAGGGGTATACTCTGCACAGCTCCCTTTTACCATCGATGGCCTCCAAGATGGCCCCAAGAGCTTTCAAGGCCCACAAGAGGGACCAAGAGAGCCCCATGAGGGACCCAGGAGAGCCCCAACTTCCTCCAACAGAACATCAAAGAGGGCCCCACTATAGCCCAAGTAAGCTGCCAAGATACTCTCATGCTGAATGATCGGCGAAGGCACGTATGGTTGACTTCTGGGTCTGCTCAAGCTGATCCCGAGCCTCAGGTTGCCGTCTCTGCTCCACTGCTTGCTCCTGCGCTTCCCTGATCAAGACATCGCACCTGGGCAGCGTTTCTGGCTGGGCTGGTGGGGAGCGCCAAGAAAGGAATTGCAGCGCGCTCCGCTGCTGTCCTCCAGGCGAGCCGCCGGGCGATCCGACGGTCGGCGCGCGTGGGCATCTGATATGGCAGACGTCGGGCGACGCGCTTCACTCACCAGAGCGCCGGCACGGTGCCGAGCGGCGCACAGGCGACCCAGGGCGCCCAAGGAGGGGGAGCAGCAGCAGCCATACAAAAGTGGTGGCCCATGCCCACCGAATCGGCAAGACGAAACATGCGACCGTCGGGACCAGCGCGCGTGTCCGGGATGAAGATGCACCCCTGCCACAGGCCGCCCTCGAGGCATGCGGCGGGCGATGGTGGCACCGTGCGACCATGGGCACTCTGCGATGCGAGCTGCAGGCCACGGGGCCCCGCAGCTCGGAGACACGACGCGCCCCAACTGTTGTGGCTGTTTCCTGGCCCCCAAAGACGCTCTGCCCGAGCAGGCACGACGGAGGCCCGTCCTGGAGGCAAGGGATCCTGGCGGCAACAGCATCCCCAGATGACGAGGGCCGCCAATGCTTTGGCTGCTTCTATGCCTCGGGTCTGGTTCTGGGCACCGGTTGAGCCCCAATGGCGCAATACCAGTGGGACAAAGATCCGTCATACATCCGGAGTGGTAATCCGCCGGCCCCCTTGTGGGTCCACCAGGCTGTAGGGCGAAGGTTCGCAGTTTCCTGTACCAGTTGCAGCTTCCAGTTTCCACTGTTACAGTTCTGCTTCTTTGCAGCTTCCAGTTTCCACTGTTACAGTTCTGCTTCTTGCTGCTTACTGTTCCTTGTTGATGGACCGCGCGAGGGGAGAAGCCCAAAACGTGCATTTCTACCACGTCCTGAGCGTGTGCTTTGAATTGCCGGGGTGGAAAAAATTACACCCCTCACGCAGATCGGCGGGGTCAGGGTCCAAAAACACATGGGATTTACAACATTTCTGACATTCGGTTGCACCCCTCACGTAGATCGGCGGGGTCAGGGTGCAAAAACATACAGGATTTGCAACATTTCTGAGATTTGCTGGGACCCCTCATGCAGATCGGCGAGGTCAGGGTCCAAAAACACATGGGATTTGCCACATTTCTGAAATTCGGCGGCACCCCTCACGCAGATCGGCGGGGTCAGGGTCCAAAAACACATGGGATTTGCCACATTTCTGAAATCCGGTGGCACCCCTCACGTAGATCGGCGGGGTCAGGGCGCAAAAACATACAGGATTTGCAACATTTCTGAGATTTGCTGGCACCCCTCATGCAGATCGGCGAGGTCGGGGTCCAAAAACACATGGGATTTGCCACATTTCTGAAATTCGGCGCCACCCGTCACGCAGATCGGCAGGGTCAGGGTCCAAAAACGCAGGGGGTCTGCCACATTTCTGAAATTCGGCGGCACCCGTCACGCAGATCCGTAGGGTCAGGGTCCAAAAACGCAGGGGATCTGCCACATTTCTGAAATTCGGCGGCACCTCTTATGCAGATGCGTAGGGTCAGGGTCGAAAAACAAACAGGTCCCGACACTGCTTCACGGCGGCGCCCAGACCTCATGATTTAGCTTCGGCATCTCCCATTATCCGAGACAGGGGGCTGGCGGCATGGGGCGAAGCCCTTACGGATATCATCATCGCGTGTCGTGCGGTCAGCTACTGCGATGGCATGCCCGAGAGCTGGGCCCCCTAAGCGCTTCGACAATGCAGCCGTGCCGTTGCGAATGCCAGCGTCGAGGGTTCTAGCATGATGAGCTGCCCTGTCCGATACAGTCGGACCTAGGCCAGAATAACATCCTTCGAGAACATGAAACCTTCCGCCTGCCAAATTACCCCAAACCCTGAGATCGTTCGAGGGTATCCTCCCCCGGGATGCACAAGAACATCCAACAGACACGAAGAACATGAGGGCACCCTCCCCGAACCGACCTCGATCCTACGCCTCGGCCGGACTGCACTGCGGTCATGTACTCGGGCGCCACAGCCCCGAGCAGCGACAGCCCGACCGAATCGGGCGAGGGCTACAGAACAGACCGTCCAGAACTTGCTCCACTTCCTCATGCCTCTGCACCCGCTGGCGCCATCAACTCTGCAATGTTGACACTCGCCCTCGCTCTACGCGCACAGACACACAAAGATGGACGCGCGCGGGCCTCCGCGCCGAGACACACACGCACAAGCGATCACACAGGCACGCGCTTTTTGGCGTCGCGGCCGCGCACATGGCAACGCGACGAGGTCTGTCAGCAAACGCAGGGGGCATGCGTGGGCGCCGGGAACTCGCGCAGTAGCCAGGCAGGGCAACGCAGGGCTCACCCATACGGAGCCGCCCTGCGCGGCCAACACGCGCACATCATTTTCCTTCGGCAGTCGGTTGAGTGTCAGCGCAGCAAGCACCAGGGCGGGCCACGCCTAGCTCAATGACCCCTGGCCTCGCAGATGGGGGGTCCGGGCGTGGCTGACGCATGCGGAAAAATTCAGCCGCAACAAGCGCACGCGCAATTTTCAGGCGGCGGCGCAGATGAACCTCAGGCGCGAGCAGCAGGTGGAAGTGCGAAGTGCGACCGAACGTTGCCGAAGGCATAGTGTACAAAACGTGCACACCATCAAACCGCAACGATGAGTGGAGTGAAGGAGGAGCTCTACATCCAAACGGAACGTGCAGGCACACATAAACATGTACACACACTCGCGCGCACACGCATACAGGGCACTTCAGGGAGGTGCCAGCTCGGCGTCCTTCGTCGAGCCAGTGGCCCTGGGCCCGGTCCACGAGCGACTGCGCCAGGCCGTGGCAGGCCTCGGTGGCTCCGCCGTCCGCAGGCTCCACGGACTCCACGAGGGTGCTGGCGCCTGAGATTCGCCGCTGGGGGCCCCGAGCGGTGCGTCATGCGGCGCCAGGGCCAAGCCGACTCTCAAGGAGCTGTACGACGACCACGGCGACTGCGGCGGCGACCTCCTCCGTCGTTGTCCCTCTTCCCGTCTTCTTCCCCCCTCCTCCTGCGAAATTGCGGCGGCTGGCGGGGGCGCACGGGGGGGAGGAGGCGGAGGAGGGGGAATGGAAGGGGAAGGCCAGCGGCAGGAGTGAAGCCTGTGGAACCTGGATGCTGGGCGCTCCGTGGGAGAGCGTTCCTTGAGCTGCAACCACCAGATGGTGTGAGGTCAGCAGCCGACTGAGCCACGGGATGGGAGGGAGGAGGGGGACAACCAGGATGGGAAGGAGGGGATGGAGCGACAATCAGGAACAGGGGACATATACCTCCGATGTCGTGCCTACTTACGGTGTGAGCCTCCCAGAGCTCTCGACATCATAACAGAGGTATTCTTCACCGCCGACTTGGATGGTCCTGGGCCCAGAGAAAGACAGGAAACATGCTTCACTGCACTCTGCTCCGCCACTCGCGGAGGTCTTGGGGGGGAGGGACGACCAGGAGGAGCAGAGAGAGGAGGAGCAGGCGCCTGCTTCTCCTCTGGACCCCAACTCTCCATCCTGCCACCGCGGCCGCCGCTGGTCCGGCCTCTACCGCCTACGGCACAGCTAGCTCCCCCCTCGGCCCCTGTCATTATAAATCGCCGCCGTCGTCGTTGTCGTTTTCTTCTTCCTCCTCCTTCTTCTTCTCATCCTCCTCTTCCTCCTCCTCCTCCTCCTCCCCATCTTACCCGTCCTCCTTCCTCTCCTTCTCCTCCTCCTCCTCCTCCTCCTCCATCCTGATTCTTCTTCTTCTCCTCCTCCTCCTCCTCCTCTGCCTCCTCCTCCTCCTCCTCCTCCACCTACTCATTCTCTGGAGAAACCAAACAAACACCCATACCGCTACTCCCCGGACCTCTCCCGGTGTGCTGCGTTATGACCAGAATCCAACCAGCCCGCTGGGCTGAGTGGTTCAACGAGTTGTTCTCGGTTCTCTGCAACAGCCTCTTCTTCTCCTGCTCGAGGGAGGGGTTTACCATTACACACCACACATCCACATCTGGAGCATGCCTGGGCATTGATTTTGGATTGCCTTTTGATTTTGGATTTTGGGCTTGATCCCACGTGCCCCGCGACCCCTTTGCATTGGTTTCTGACAGGGGCGGCGGGGATACCGGCAGATTGCCTACACGTGGAGCACGCGCCGCACCTGGCGCGCCTGGCCCGCTTAGGCCTCCAGGGTGCCTGGTGCACCTGGAACCCGTGGCGCACATGGCATGCATGGCGCTCCTAAGCAATATGCTGAGACTTCCTCGGGTATTACTTACGCGTTGGGAGGGCGAGTGGGGGTGAGCGAGACAGCTTGCGGGCGAAGAGGAGGCCTCGACCCCTCCCACTTACCCTCTCCCCCTGGGAGGGGGGGTGGGCCCGATCCGGCAGACCGCCCAAGATGGCCCAAGATGGCTCCACGAAGGCCCTGGGCAGCCCAAGACGGCCTCCAAGATGACTCAAGATACCTCAACATCGATCGAAATAGCCTCCGACATGCCTCCAAGACGCCCCAAGACAGCTCCAGGAAGGTTCCGAGTGCCCTTCGAGCCTCCTAAGGCACCCCCAAGAGGCCGATTTTCTTCAAACGCATGAAGGACATCACGTTTTTTTGGCTTCTGGCTTCTTGGCTTCCGAAAAGCCTCTTGGGCCTCAAGATGGTCACAAGATGGCCCTAGAGAGGCCCAAGGGGAGCCCAAGACGGCCCCAAATAGGCGCCCCAGAGCGCCCCAAGAGAGCCTCGGGAGCCCATGTTGGAGCGTCCGAGGGGGGGACCTACTTTTCTGACCTCCCCTCCTTTGATTAATCTCTTCCAAGACGGCCCCCAAAGAGCCCAAGTGGGCGCCCAGCACAGCAAGGGAGGCGCCCAGCATCACCAGGGAGGCCCTCAAGAGGCCCCCCACCGGAGACCAAAAAGGCTCCAATAGGCTCCTCCGATGCATCAGAGACGCTCCAAGAGGCCCAAAGGACCGCCCAGACCTGTTCTCCTCCTCCTCCTCCTCCTCCTTTTCCTCCTCTTTCTCCTCCTCCTCCTCCTCCTCCTCCTTCTCTTCCTCCTCCTCCTCCTCCTCCTCCTCCTCCTTTGCCTCTCTCAGCCGGGGTAATATGATTGTGTCTTTCTCTACGCCCTTCGGAAAAACAGTGGCAACGAGTGACACATCCAGGGCCGCAGGCAACCTCCTCCTCCCTCTCCCCCTCTCCCTTCCCCTCCTCCTCCTCCTCCTCCTCCTCCTCCTCCTCCTCCTGCTCCTCCACACCCTCCTCCTCCACACCCTCCTGCATTCCTTTTCCTTATACGTAACCTTCCCTGTCGCGCCCCGAGGCTAGTTTTTAGGGCGGCCTGGGCGTTTCGCTTGAGACTTCCTCACCATGTATGGCCCTGAAACGTAACAACTGGCTACAGGCTTACAGATGGAGGACGGGTCGTTTTCAAGCTTTGGTTTTCGCCTTCGCGCCGCGCACATTCGTTTTAAAACTTAGCAGGGTCTGCCCGGATTGAGAGCGGGTCGTTTTCAAACGGTGGCTCTCGCTTTACCGCCGCGCACATTCATTCGTTCTAAGCATGTGCAAGAATTTAACAAATTGAGGGCGGGCCGTTTTCAAGATGTGGCTCTCGCCTTAGCGTCGCGTGCATTCGCTGAACCAAATGACAAGAGCTTCGCGGATTGAAGGCGGTTCTTTTTCAAACTGTGGCTCTCGCCCTAGCGCCGCGTGCGTTCGTTTTAAACATGTGCCAGAATTTCGCGGATTCCCATGGTCAGCATACCAACAATGATATTTTGGACGGGTTCAATTATGAGTGCGTCAGTTACGTTGATTTGCGGTGTTGAAGTCCCAGGAATGGCGTTCAGGCAAGATTCAGGGTCGTCAGTACGCAACAGTCAAATTGATCCGTGGCGTTGGAATCCCAAGAACATTTTTTCTATATATATATATGTACATATATATAAACGGTCGTTTTCCAACGGAGCAATTCCCTCAGTGGAAATGAACCGTTGTAGGTGCCTCTGCAAAAAGAGCCCGGAGAGAAAATGTATCCCAACATCGTTGATGACTCTTGGGTTTGCACTGGTCCTCCTTCTCCTCCTCCTCCTCCTCCTCTTCCTCCCCGTCCTCCCCCTCCTCTTCGCCCCCCCCCTCTCATCCTCCTCCTCCTCCTCCTCCTGCTCCTCCTCCTGCTCCTCCTCCTCCTCCGCCTATTCCTTCTCCTATTCCTCATCCTCCCTCCCCTCCTCCTCCTCCACCATCCTCCTCCTCCTCCTCTTCCTCCTCCTCCTCCCCCTCCGGCTCCTCCTCCTCCTCCGCCTTTTCCTCCTCCTCCTCCTCCTCTTCCTCCTCCTCCTCTCTCTCAATCGGGGCAATCCGACGCGATGATGTTCGAAAGCCCGTTCGGAGAATCATTTGCAGCATGGCGGTGCAGGAGAACCTCCCAGATGACATAACCGTGGCAGGTCACATTTTGACGACTCATAAAACAATTTGCCCCGCACCCCCCGACATGCATCCAAGGCGGCTGTCGCACTGCATGATTCTAGGCTGCTCTCATCAAGGCAACTCGCCTGGCGATGGTGTCTTGATGGGCTGGCGTGGATATTTTTTGGTCCGCGGGCGCGCGAAGACGAGTCGAACGCCGAGCATGCTAGGGCGGACCGCGCACCGTAGATAAGAAAAACAACGAGGCGAACGGCATCCAGCGGGTGGGAAGGAAGTACAGCACTACCGCCCGGCCCGCGAAGCTGCCGCTAAAAGAATGTGCCGAAGACAAAAGGCACGAAAACCAAGGGCGGAACCACCCTTGCCGAATGAGAGGAACTTGAAGCAGCCCCGATCCCACCGGGGTGGTGGACGCAGCCAAGATGGCGCGACAGAGCCGAAGCGCGGCGGAAGAGGTGGTACACATTGCCTTAGGGGTAGTACAAGAGCGGGGACGCAACCAAAATGGCGCGGGAAAATGGCACCTCGGCGGCCAGGGTGTGCGGGTAGCGGCGCCGCTCATCCATGGGCACCCCGAGCCACTGAAGGTCAGGCTGGTGTGGGTACTTTTTTTTTGTCAGCGGCTCCGAGGAAACGGACAGGGAGCGGAAGCGGCGTCCGGGTCACGGTACGGGGCTAATGTGCAAGACAGTTCGCCGCCAGCCAGAGTCGGCGGACAAAGCTCGCACCTGCAAGACAGGCTCGCAGTTGCACGTGCACAGAACAAAATGAACTAAATTCTCAGGGCAAACGCACTTAGGCACCGCAGCCCGAATCTCAGTGAGCAGGCCGCCGTGTAGGATGTGCGGATGCAACGAAGTGAATCGCCAGGGCGGCGCCAGACTCCGTCGCCGACCTGCACAAGCCGAACGGCTGTGCGGCCGAAGCCAGAAACAGGGCGCGACAAAGGGAAAACCAAAGGCTGTACAGGCGTTGCAGGCTGAACCACTCAGCGCCCAGTCCTCAGTAATCCGCCTCCCAGTGCCGAGGGAGCCATGCGGCTGTGCCCAAGGCGCAACTGCGATGCCAATCCCTGAAGCGAAGAGATCCGCTGGCGTAGGGAGCGCCGCCGTCGGGTGGTGATGGTCGGCACACTGATGGTGGTGACGTCTGCGCTGCCTGCCAGAGGGGGTCCAGCTGCAGTGAAGCTGAGGTGGCCAGCCAACCCAGACTGTCGCATGGCGCTGCCCCAGAGCCCTAGCGCCGACACGCACCAGGTGTCACCCCAAAGCCGTGGAAACTGCCGCTGGAGGGGCCAAGAAGGACCATAAGCAGCGCGGACCACGGTGCGAGCGGGGAGGGGGTGGCCACAGCCCACACGCAAATGCCGCGTCGGGCGAGCCCCGAAGCCACGGGTGGGGGACGCCCACCGAGCCTGGGAGGGGAGAGGCGAGGGGACGCAACGCCTCGCCCCACGGCCAGGTACCCTGTAGCCGTGGGCCAGGGGCCGCGGCCTGCCACATGGAACGTCCTGGGGGTCGCAGCTACTCGCCGCGAGCACCTGCGTGGAAGAACGGGGGGTCGCAGCTAATCGCCACTAGGATCCATTTTACATCGAGGGGGTCGCAGCTAATCGCCGCTGAGGTCTCTGTTGAATGTGTGCGAACGGGTGATGGCCCACCGAGGCCGCAGTCCACTGCGAACGGGTGACGGCCCACCAGCGGTGGCGACGAGGGCCTCCCAGAGACCCAGAAAGGGGAACGCCAGGGAACAGTAGTGGTATGGGTGCCTTTTCCTCCTCCTCCTCCTCCTTCTCCTCCTCCTCCTCCTCCTCCTCCTCTGCCTCCTCCTCCCCCTCCTCCTCCTGTTCCTCCTCCTCCTCCTCCTCCACGTTGTTCCTCCTCCTCCTCCTCCTCCTCCCTGTTCCTCCTCCTCCCCATTCCGCCTCCCTCCCCTGCTCCTCCTCCTCCTCCTCCTCCTCCGCCTCCTCATCCTCCCCCTCCTCCTCCTCCTCCTCCTCCTCCTCCTCCTCCTCCTCCTCCTCCGCCTCGCTGGGCGGGGCCTGGCCGTGGCCCCGCGCTCACGCCGGTGCCCTCCGACGCCAACCCCGACGCGGACGCCGCGCTCC